TGAAATTCACCGTCGGGTTGGTGTAATACTCAACCGCTCTTGTATTCATCTCGTCGAGATATTGGTCCGCAGTAAGCATGCCGGCGCGCCAAAGAAGCCTCAACGACCAGAACTCCGCCCCTCCTTCGTTGTACCGAGACTGTTCGGCATTGGTACCGCTAGACCACGGTGTCCAGTTGTGTGTCATCTCATGCGCTAACAGCGTGGTTACTCTGTCCTGCGCCAGCCCGGCGTCCCGGTTGTATCCAAATAAGAAGGATCGCAGCAAGGCAGTTCCACCAGCGCCGGTACCGACAGACCCAGCACGCTGTTCTTCGTTGATGCGAATGAAAACGCGGTACGGGTCCGTGGAGTTGTCTTGCCAGAATTTGGTCGAGTATGACAACAGGTTTTGGAGGTACTGGCCAACCTGTTCGATATCGAAAGGTGTTTTCTCAAGCCAGTAGATCCCAAATTTGCCGTCAGGGCCGGTTGGCATGCTCGGATAGCCCTTAACGTCGCCGACGATAAAATAAGTCTGGGTCAGTCGTGTCACAGGCCCGACGAAGTTGTGGCTGTGGGGTCCTACACCGTCAGCCCAGGTGTATGCAGCGCTCTGCTCGGCCGAGATGTTCCAAGAAACGGTGATGTTGTAATTATCACCCGACAGAGGATTTGGAACTGGTACCAAAGCCCACATCGAGCCAGTGAGACCGCCGGTGGCGTTCCTAATATCGAAATGAGGCCCCGGAAGAGCACTGACGTTGACAGAAGCAGGCTTTGCCGTGAATTCGATTGATACTGGGCCTTCTGTAGCTCTTTTCGGTGTCCATTGTTGAGTTGGTAATCCGGAAGGACCTTGAGCTACCTCCTGGAAGTCCAGTGGCAAAGCCCCTGTCTTGTCGGATGCTGTCAGGCCGCTGGCACCGTATTGCGCAGATGCTACGCTTGCGATGGTCTTTGGTAACACAACAAGCGTCTCATTGCTGCCGCATGCCCTGTTGAAAACGATTTTCCCATGAAGGCGATAGTCATCCTGAACCAGACTCGGCGTCAGCGTGAGGTGGAACTCGGGAACAGCAGTCGACGCGTTTAAGAAGGCAGTTTCTGCCTTCGCGAGGCCAATCAAGCCGAATAGGGCGACGAAGTTGGCTCGAGACCAAATCATAACGACAACAGTATCGAGAAACGAGACGATTGCTCAAGTTGATGGAAGAAGAGGATGGCAGTCTTGGATAATACTAATATGATATATAAAGATGTAGATTGGCTTCTCCAATCAGTTTCCGGCCTCGCTAGGCATAGTGAACCCCCGCGCTGGCCAAGCCGGATGTCGAAGAGATTGTTTACTCATTCTCTCATTCCTGCCGTAGCATAGACGGTCAAAAGAGGGGTCGCAATCTGATGAGTCGGGGGTGCAAGCAGGGGCCATGGTGAAGATCAAGGAACCCTTCGCAGGCCCAGTCTTGGCATGCGCTAAACCGAAAGTAGTGCTCAAGAGCGCGTCTAAGTTTACAGAAAAGGTACACCTATCCCACGGAGTGAAAGGTTAGCGCGAGTACAAGGCAGGGGAGGGGGTAGGGGTAAGGCAAGGGTTATTCCAAGGTCAGTTTGCCATTTAATTTGTTTAACTTCGAGGTCACTTTTCCCATTTTCACCGCCAAAACTGGCGGTGAGTACCTCCGTCCTTAATATCCCAGATGTTCCTCTCAAACTGACGCTTCGACAGCATCCCATCTGGGCCTGCCCTACTGCCCTCCACTGCACCGCGATGGATATCTCGAACCTCGTCAACAGCGCGCCGCCCGTACTCGAGGGCGGCGCCCTCGCCGCCCTCGAGTACGACGAGACTGCCAGCGGTCGTCGCCGCCGCTACGGGCGTACGTCGATCTATACGTCGCCGTCGGCAGAGCGTTTTTATCGCCTCCAAGCCTCTCGCAACGCCCTACGCCGCAGCCCGCGCCACAGCAACAAAAAGCCACGTAGTCGCGAGTTGACGCGCGACGACCGCCTCCGCGTACGTACGCTACGCAACGACGCAAAAATGGACTACGAGACGATCGCTAAGACGACGGGCTATACGATACGCCAGGTACAGAAGGCGTGCCTTCTCGACCTTACACCTCGCCGCTCTCATGGAGTAACGTGGCAGTTTATACCTGATGAGCTGCTGCAGGAGATACGTCAGCATATGGAGGATCCGTACTACCGTATGGTACCGTGGGCCGACCTTCGATGGCTGATCCCCGGCCTCGAACGCTACGGCGAACGTGCTATCTACACTGCCCTTAAAAAGCTGGGTTTTAACCGGAAGAAGCGGACTCGACGTATCAAACGTACTGCCGCCAACAAGCGGGCACGAGTTCTCTTCTGTCAGGAGTGCCTCTGGCGCTGGCCGAACCCTGAAGACTGGGAGCGTGGCCCTGTTGCTTTTACTGACGAAACCTGGGCCACCAACAGCCCGATGTGGAAGCAATGGATCACGATACACAACACGGAGGACCCAGAGACTTGGGCTCTCATTCGTCAAAAGCCTCACGGTTGGATGTTCTGGGGGCTCATATGCAGGCTCGAGAAGGGCCCTGGTTTCTTCTGGGAGAAGGAGTATGGCAATATCAACGCCGAGAAGTATCAACACCACGTTCTGCCGCTCGTGAGGGACTTTATACATGCCCACCCAGGTACTATCTTCCAACAAGACAACGCACCAGCTCACAAGGCTAGGACTACCAAGTCTTAGCTGCTCGACAACAATATCGAATACCTAAAATGGCCACCTAGATCACCAGATTTGTCACCTATCGAGAACGTCTGGGCCTGGATGAAGCACTAGGTCGAACAGCACTACGATATCAAGTCCCTCAAGTTACCCAAACTCCGTACTGCCCTCCAGGAGGCGTGGGAAGCAATACCTCGCGATTACCTCAAAAAGCTAGCCCATTCGATGGTTAGAAGGCTTCGAGAGTGTATCGCCCGAGGAGGTGACACGGTGCCATATTGATGATCGAGAAGGATGGGTTTGAAGCGCCAGAAACCAGCAACTTGTACAGATACATTCGTTTTGCAGTGAATATACGCAGTTCAGAAGTACTCGTTACGCCGAGTCAACCCCCTGGTGATCCCATTAATTCAGACCCACAAAGTACCGCACTAACCTTTCACTCCGTGGGATAGGTGTAGTTAAGAACGCAACTTCGTGTCGACACCGCGCAATCTTTATTGCCATCGCTCATCATGCATCCGACATGCCGGCTACATCCTTGTACAATAAAGAAAATCTCGGAATTTTGATATCACAGAGGATCAAGGGGCAACAATTCATCCTCCTATCGATCAAGATTTCTCCAACTTCATGTGGATCCAGACTTGGCCGGCACAGCGCGATCGGCAGGCCCAACAGCTGGGCCCATGTCCGGCACCGAACCCGAGCACGGGATAACCCCGACTCCGGTCCCGAGCCTAGCGGCAGACACTGGCAATGAGAATAGCCTGCTCTATTCAAAGATATCATGGACTTTATTGCCATGATGATACTAGTGGCTGGAAGTGCAACTGGCCATCCTCAACGATACTGAATGACGCACCCCGTCAAGGTGGTCTGCTATCCGGCCTTGCCAACGGTAGATGCATGGATCTGGTGGGGTCTTATATACATGCCTCACACCAAATGAAAGAGATTCTGGACGTAAGCTTGTGCCGGCAAGATGATTTTCAAAGAAAACGACGTCCACGTGTGTGGCACAACGTTCTTATTGTACCACTAGTCAAGACAAACATATGTAGTGACTGTCCTCCGCCTTCATCAAGGTTTCCCGGTACGACGCCAAAACACGCAAGTTTCCATCACTCTGTCCCGATTCCAGCTCTGCATCTCGGCTGCATGTATCTTGATTTAGAACATGCTCACCGTGGCTTGATATCTAACAAAAAAAGCACAAGCCCCGCCTTACACCTCACCAATGATGACCTGTTGTTGGAAATGTTACCTATGACGACGCAACGTCACTGGATCGGTGACGATTTCTCAGTTGGACATGCGCATTAGCCCCTTGCTTCCACTCAGGCCCAATGTTAGTTCTACTGCAGCATGTACCCCAAAAGTCGGGCGATCGATCATGCAGTTGCTAGGAAGAATACATATGTTCCTTAGTCTTGGCCTTTGGTTCTGCTCTTAAAATATGAAAAGACGGCATCTACTCACCCTTATTTGTCCGTGTTACGAGTATAAGTATCAAAGCTTCCAGCCATGCCCGACTTGCGATCAAGTCGTGTGTTCGTCCAACGTCCACCTACCAAACATCGGAAATGGTAGCGGCCAGTCTTCAAGCAACCCTTTTCGGGGCTGCCGTCACATTAAAAGCTATCGCCTTGAAGGGAATCACCTGTTGTTTTATAGTATTCTTCATCACTCTTCTCCCTTTGCCAAGGACACATGATACAAAAGCTCACGCCGCATCCGTCAAGTTCGACTGGGACCCATCTGGCCCTCCCATATGGACCATCAGGCCAGAAGAGCGCGCGGCATTCCTTTCTAACAAGACTTCCTTCCTCGAAAAGCGTGCCTCGAATCCGTGCGAAGATAGGGACAAACCTGCTGATCTCTATCGGCAGTATGGGGATGCCGACTGCAAGCCCACGCTCAAGTTGCAATCCGACGGTTCGTGTCAAAGTTGGGACAAGGTATATAACGGGAAAGGCACTCAGGTTAAATGCATGAGCTTCTGCCAAATTCGTAAGTTTGTTTCTAAGAACGGCTGTTGCAATCATTGAAACTATCCAGTAACAGAGGGTTCAATTTGCTAGGCACCTACTTCGAATGGAGTCGCGAGCAGCCATTTTCTTACACGAAATGCCATTACCCCCTGGCCTGCAACCTCACCACGAACGATACGGTGCCACTCGGCAGTTGGAAGAAGTCCGGATCCAACCTAGACCAGGCTCTAGAGGTTGGGATATCTGGGGGGTACGGTTCGAAGAGTGATCTGGAGTTTTATGCGCAAGGCCAAAACTGGTCTCTCGACATGAAAGAGGGCCAGTGCGGCTACTTCACTTTCATTCCCGTCAAGAAGATCACATGGTCAGTCTCTTGAGCGAACATCTGCAACATTTTTCCTAGACTAAAACATGTCTTCTTCCAGCGGAACCTTATCTGAGTCCGTTTGGAAAACAGGAACGTCCTGCAGCACGTCCAAGAAAGACGGTGCCAACCACAAAGTTAACTACTGCGTCGACCAGCTCTGGAACATCAGAGACAAGACCAGCGGCAAGGAGGTACCCGATGGCATCACTATCTTCGTCCACACGAACTGCAGCACGCGTGAGCCGCTGGCCATGGAGAAGCAGGACCCAGCGTATGCCGCACCCGGCGTGGCCCTTGACAAGGAAAGGAACCAGAAGGTCCAGCAGGATTGGGTCTGGAACTCGTGTAGCTTCACTTGGTTCCAAGATCAGAAGAAGCTCAAGGTGTTTCTTCGTGGCGGCGGGTTCCGCGATGACAAGATTGCATCCGACGGAGACAAACTCGCCTCCGCGATTACCAAGTGTAGCGGCGACGCCGGTATACTTGACTCGACGTTTCAGTGGTTCTACAACGATTACTACAGGTTCAACACCAAATTCCCTGAGCCTAGACCGAAGGAGGTGGGTGCGTCCTGGTTTTTTTCGGCGATAGTGCCGGCGAAAACTAGCCCAAAATGCGTCGGGGACGCCCTCGTGGGCATGGGAGGCTTCAAGGATCAGTGTGTTGAAGATGAGCATTCTGTCAATGGTAAGAAAGTCTCGGAGTTGTAACATAGCCATTGACAGGCTACCTGGTTTTGGATCGCAGCCGGTGGCAAATGTCATGACATGCTTTCCCCGGCTTGGGCGCGCCCAGACAGCGATGTAAATCATTAGGCGAACTTATCTAAGAATCAGTGGCATGTGATCACTGGCATCGTGGAGCTCTTGAAATAAGCCGGAACTCTTTTCAAGATGAGATCTATTTCCCATAACGAAGTCAACGCCAACGCTAGGCTTGTGTCTCCTTTCCAACCTCCTCGATGTGTACCCAGCAGACCCCCTTCCCTGATCTGCAGACACGACTACATGAAATATGGGCCGACAAGAGGCTGCTTCTCGTGCGCAAAGTACCCAGCCGAGAGATCCTGGTGAGCCGCAATAAAGTCCCCGCAGAGGCGGATCTCTTGAAACTCCTTCATGCCCGACACCTCGCGCATCTTGCAAGCCTTGCAGCGTTTGTGGCCCTTTCGACTTCCGTCGCGACGGTTCAGCTTGAGATGGCTGAGGAGCTGTTCCCGGGCATAGTAGACGGCGACGTCGATGTTGAGGCGGCCCGCCCTGTCGAGTTCCTTTTGGTCTCGTTTGATGATCGCCTCAACTTTGGCCTCTTGCAACGTTTTATCCGTAAGTGTGATTGCCTTCGCCCCGCCAATGTTCTTGTTGTTGCTGTCTGTCCACTTATATTTGATCTGGTTCGCGACGAAGTTGGGAAGGGGCTGAAGCCAGACAGTCGCACCTTGGCGACGCTCTTTTGGAATCGAGGTTGCAGGTGATGGCGCGTTTTCGACGATGATATGTTTCTTTGAGCCTTCTTGAGAAGGTACGTCACGGCTAAGGGTCGCGACTGGAGTGCCATTATCTTGTTGGGGACGAGGGCGAGGAAGGTAGTTGTGTGCGGCAGGAGACGTGGTCCATCGATGGAAGACGGCTTCCCAGAAGGCTGCGCGAACTGCATCGTTAAGGACCTTGCCTGTCCGGTTGATAGTAAGGATGTGGGTGATGATGGGGTCGCAACTGCGCTTTTCATGATCGGTTAGGTCGTCGTAGGAGGCAAGTATTATGGGATCGTTGGGCTGCTCTGTGGCAGAGATGTCTGCTTGGAAGGCCATGGCTGTGATGAGACTTGTCAAAAAAGGTCGTTCGCAATGATGCGCTATCAGAGAAGGATCAACGGGAGGATGTTTCCAATTTGGTGGCCAAGTTTGATCTTGGATAAATCCTTCTTTGAAATCTGGAAGAGGCCGAATATAGCGACGAAGTAGGTACGGAGGGGTCAAGATGGAAGAATAGGAAACAAGCGTAGAAAAGGTGTTTAGTGAAAGAAGGAGCGAATCTTCGAGACTGGCAAGAGCAAAGGTGTTTGTCTGCCTGTTGGCCGTGAACATCGCGTGCAAAGCACGTCTTTGACGATTTGAGAAACATCTCGGACTTTGAGCTAGGTACCTAAGGAGCGGTCTCGTGTTCAAGTTGTAACAGTACTCCTCCCCGCAGCGAGACACGCTCATCTTCCACTAGAACGAGACAGAGAATAGCTAAAGTCCAGTTCATAATGCATACCACGCTCTGCCTAGGTGGCGGACACTATTGTCAGAGCAGTGTCGGATGACAGTTCAACGACTAATACAGGCCAGCTCCAACAGACCGGAGACATCCAGAGGAACACGTCAAAGTTATAGTAGCAGCAAGGTGTTAATCGATCTAGCCATATTCAATGGCCGTATGTGTGATTGGGTATCAACCTAAATAACAACAACGAATCATCCAAGCAATATGGATGTTTTTCCCTTTCCCCTTTTCCTAATGTGGTATTTACACAATCATTCTGCCCCTAGTACTGGGGGTTCTTCTTCCTCAAGAAGATGTGGAGGGCAACGTACGAAGCCACACCAGTGAAGCACAATCCGCTAATGACACCAAAGCCCATGAGGTACTTGGGAGCGTCGCTCGAGGGGAAGAGGTAAGCGCCGTAGATCTGGGCGAGGTTACCCATGGCGTTGACGAACGCAAGGGAGATGGCGCGGGTCTCGTTGGCCATGTCGCCGAAGCTGACGGAGGCATACGACAGGGCGAGACCGTTAGAGGCCCACAGACCGGAAGCCATGATGACCAGGAGGGCGTAGCGGGCCGTGAAGTTGTAGACGACGCAGATGATGATGGAGCAGATCATGGCGACGGCCATCCAGGCGCCGAGGATCAGGCCGCGCCACTTGCTGTGCTGGTCGGCGAAGTATCCGGTGATGGCCGTGCAGACAAAGGCGACGCCGAAGATGGGGATCGTCATGTACTGGGCGGCGGTCGAGGTGTAGCCGAGACCGCTGACAAGGGTGGGGTAGAAGTAGGACAGGGTGGAAGAACCGACGATGGCCTGCGATGGGGGTCTGTGTCAGTTTACCGGCGTTGATAAGTACGAAGAGTGATGATGATTAGGGCTTACCATGTAACCAACGACAAAGAGCCAAGTCTTCCAGCTGACCATGGCAAGCTTGAAGGCAGCCCAGTGGCCTAGAACGGGCTCCTCCTCGCCGCGCAGGGCCTGCTCGTCGCTCTGAAGTCTGCGGATAGCCAGGGCGCGCTCCCTCTCGTTGAACTTGAGCTTGGAGGTGTTGGCGGGGAAGTCGGGGAGCACGAAGAAGGCGATGCCGGCGGCGCCGACGGTGGCGGCGCCCTCGACGACGAACAGCCAGCGCCATCCCGCGATGCCGTGGACCTCGTGCAGACCGCTCGTGATGGAACCGGCGAGGAGACCGCCGAACGCACCGGAGAGGATGGCGGCGGAGATGTAGACGGCGAATCGCTTGGACTGTTCCTCCTTCTTGTACCAGGAGGATAGGAGGAGCAGGACACCGGGAGCAAAACCGGACTCAAGGCCTTTGCGGAGCTGTGAGAAAAGGCAAGAATGCAAACGTGGGATGATGGTTTTTACTTACAACCCATGACAACACGGAAACCAACGAGGGCCTCGTAGGTTGGGCAGAAGGCCATTCCGATGGTGACCGAGCCCCACACCGCCATGATGCCGGGGAGGTAGAGACTGGGACGGGTGCGGGTGAGGAGCATGTTGGAGGGGACTTCGAAGAGGACGTATCCGATGAAGAAGACGATGAGGGCGATCGAGTATTTGCCAGAGTCGAGGCCAAGGTCCTTGTCCATGCCGGCGATCTTGGCGTTGCCGATGCTGAAGATTGGGGGAATAGGGGTTAGCCTTGAGGTGACATCACGGCAGGCAGAGTCACAGAGTCGGATGGCAACTTACTTGGTTCTGTCCATGTAGGAGAGAAGGTACATGAGCCACATCAAGGGGAGGAGATACTGCTTAGGGTCAGCGTCGTGTCATCACCAAATGTCTTGATGCCGTCTTACCATGTCAATCTTTCTCACGAGCTTCTTCTCCTCGTCGCTGCCCGGGACATAATCGACGGCGGGCAGATCGACGTCCTTCCCGATGGCATGTTCATGCTGGTCGCTAGTCATATCGTTCTTGTCCATGATGGGCAAACTGCTTTTGGCGGAAGAAGAGACAGACAGCGATGTTGAGATCGGTGAATCGCAGGCTTGTTGCAGTTGTCTGAGGAAGGAGAACCAACTTGCAAGACCCGACTAGAACAAGGAAAAATAAGAAGGGTTGTTCAACCTGTCAACGAAGAACCAGGGGACTGGAAAGCAAGAGCCAATTGGGGCAACTCAAAGGTTCTTAAGTAGACGTGTTGCGGTGTGTGGTCTGGAGGTTGAGAGAGAGTTGCTCCTTTTGGCTCGGCCGAGGTGCCGTATTACGTACGGTGAGCGTGTGTGTGCGTGTGTGTAGGTAGTAGTGTGGGCGCGCGCGCGCCGTCGGATACAAGGAGCGGTCGTAACGACGAGGTTGCTGCCTTGGTCACAAACAAACGAGTCTCTGTCTCTCTGTACCTACGTCGTGTTCACTCATTCCCCAGCTAATGTGCGTGTGGCTTACTCTGCACATTGGTCACACATCCATTAATATGGAGTGCGGACAAGTGTTATGCCTGGGTTATGCGCGCTGATCGAACCACCACAACCCGAGTCGAGCATTTCCGGTGTGCAGAGGCGGCAGGCTTGGCGTAATTGGTAGAATTTCTCCCGTAAACTTCCCCCAGTCTGGGGGAAACTGGGGTTGAGATGAACTTCCGGAATCTTGCGGGGTCCGGGGAGGAGTCCCGGGTCATGGTGCTGTCGTAGCGGCAGGTTTTTTGGGCAAAGTTTTGGGGATGGCACGAGGTGTGAATGCTTGCTTGACCGCGTGTCGAGGATGGTTGTGGAAAATTGGGTCGTGAAGCCGGCGTGGACAAGAGTCATTTCCCCCCTTTGCCTATCCCGGGTTGAGCTGAAGGGCTGAGCTGCGCTAGATCAAAAGGGCGTAGAGTTGGCGCAGAGCCGCGTCTCGTGGACGTTCAACATCGCGGCTAAGTGGTGATGCGGGAGTTGACCGCGGCTCGCGGGCTTCACTTCTGCGTTGACATGGATCTTGCTTGGAGTGGCGGCTGTTACACAGAAACCAACGCCGCACCTCTCAGCTGACCACCACGACTTCAATGCAGACGGTGCGTCATTGGGAAAGGGCATTGCAGCAACTAATGCGGAACGCTGGTGAAGTATCTCTTTTTCTCTCTCTTTTCCCCGCCGCCTTGAATCGCGCGTCGCGGGCCATCACGGCTTCGGGTCCTGCATCATGCACGGAGATGGGGGAGATGGGGCCCCCACGGGCGTAGCCGCCGACTGCGGATTACGGACGACCTCCAGGAACCCCCGACTGCATACTTAAGGACGCGGAAAAGTTTCCCGTGATGTTTGAAGCCACAGCTACAGTCTCAGATCCAGCTTGGTTTGTACACACTTACAATTATTTCTTCTTTCAACGGACCATTATACAACAGATATACAAGTCCGATTAAACTTCGTTTGAACGTTCTTCTACACCACCTAGTCAAAGACAAATCCCTTAATTACATACACAATGGCTCAGAACGGCAACGGCGAGGCCCCTCAGTTCCTCAGCACCATCCCCCAGGAGGGCCATGACTTCAAGATTTCCCTGAAGGACAAGGTCATCGCTAGTGAGTTTACCGCTCTAAAGAGACGCATACCCAAGAAGGAAACTAACAAGTCCGAAAAGTCTCGGGTGCCAACCAGGGTATCGGTCTGGGTATCGCCGAGGTCTGCCTCGTCAACGACGCCGCTGCCGTCTACAGCTTGGACATCTCCTCCCCCGGCGATGACTTCGCCGCCCTGAGCAAGCGCTTCCCTGGCAAGCTCGACTTCCAGAAGGCCGATGTCACCGACTACAAGAGCGTCGAGAGCGCCATCAACGCCATCGTCGATGCCAAGGGCCGCTTCGACGGCATGGTCGCCAACGCCGGCGCTACCAAGCACCAGCCCGCTCTGGACTTCACCCCTGAGCAGTTTGACTTCCTCTTCAAGCTCAACGTTACCGGCTCCTGGAACTGCGCCACTGCCGCCGCGAGGACGTTCATCAGACTCGGCTGCAAGGGCAGCATCGTCTTCACTGCTTCCATGACTTCCTACAGACCCAACCGCGTGAGTACATTCCATGAATTCCCCCAAATTGATGAACAAGCAACTGACGAAGTATGAAAAGGCCGCCCCCTCTGCGCCTTACGGTGCCACCAAGGGTGCTATCCGCAACATGACGCACACCCTGGCCATGGAGTGGGCTCAGCACGGCATCCGTGTCAACTCCATCTCCCCTGGCTTCGTCAAGACGGCTCTGACCTACTACGTCGAGACCTCTCCCGACTGGGACACCAAGATGAAGTACTACGGCGGTATGCCCCGCCTGGCTCTGCCCCAGGAGCTGGGAGGTGCCTACGTGTACCTGTTGAGCGAGACGGCTACTTACACCACTGGTATTGATATCCCTATCGCGGGTATTGTTGGCGCTTGGTAAGAGAAAAAGAAAAGTGGGAAACATGTGATACCAATTTCCTTGGGCGGGACGGCATAAAATTTCAACGTAGACATGAAGCAATAGACTCAATGATATTTTTCGTTAAATCACAACAACATCATGACCCCTAGTGTTTCTTGGCTGCTATTTTGCAACTGTGCCATGAGTGGTGAACTGTGAGAGTGCCGTTAACTTTCAAAGACTTTGTGTGTTTATCCTCGGACGAATCTACCTTCGTCGTGTGTTTCAATTTTGAGCCACGTTCATTTCATGAAATCACCTCCCTAGCCAGACAGAGTAGGTGGTTCATAGAAGCTCTTAAATTCTAAGTCAGGTTTAACGGCGCGACCAAAACTTTAATGAGGGGATCCATGGCAAGTTGGTAGTTCATGTCATGAGGCCCTAGTCCAGACTCCACGATGATCACATTTGATGCTAGCTTCAATTTGATGATACTTAAGAAAACTCACGCCACATTGACATTATGTTATCAAAACCATCAGTATTGATCTCCATGAAGCAGGGGTCAAAGTCTTCACGTCCCATGTCCATGGCCACGGCGCACAGCGCATGCAGCTACGAACAAGCCGAGCAGCCGGATGTTACACTATCACCCTCGCTACCAGCTTCATTTCCGCGTGGCATCCCGGTATACATGAGGAGCTGCATAAGATGGTTCGCCAGGAAGGCCCGGGGTAGCTCGTAGCACATCGAATGAGGAACGTGAGGACGTGTGGCTGGAGCAACCGGTCGTACGGAGGTCCAGAGTTGGCATAGTCTCCAGGCGACTTGACCAGGGCATGACCTCGGTTGTTCAAGTCATCTGCCAGGCACGGAACATTATATGCACCTTAGAAGTACACTAGGGGTGCTCGGAGATACCGGCTGTTGGCATCTCGTCTCGTATGGATCAATAGCATGACTTCACGCGCTTCACCAGGATCTTGCCCAGGAAACTGAAGAAGGATTCAATGTTTCGATGATACAACGGCATTATCTTCATCACAAGGCTCATTGACTCATCCTTGTGACGAAGGATCGTGGCTATTCATGGTTAATGTGATGAGTTTGGTCACTTACACAGCAACCCCTATTATGTATAATCGATGTTGAAAGCATTAAGCCCTTGACATGAGTAAAACGGCGAAAGGCGCGAAGTAAATCTTATTGTACCAAAGGGTTTGACATGGTGACAGGTTGAACGAGCTGAAAAATAAGAAAAAATGCCCATCTGCTCGTACTGCTTTTCCGTCTTAAGCATTTTATTTTCATCTGCCGCCTATAACATGAGATCTATTTTGTGAAGAATTCTTTTGTGAATTTTTATATAACTAGGGATATATAAGAGGTCCCCCTTACTCTAACTACCCCCTATATATCTAACTACTTTTATTAACTACTACTTTATTAAACTATAGTACTACTTTAAGTTCTACTAATAAGCTATCTTATTTTAAATAGTTTAATTAGTTTATTTTACAATATTAATTATTAATTATTTTATTATTTTTAAATACTTTAGTAATATCTTTAAACTTATTAAATATTTTAAGAAAAGATAGATTATTATAGCTATATTAGTAGAGGATAATATATACTAATAAGTAATAGAAGAATAATACTTCTTTAAATTTATTATAGTTCTAAGAGAAAAAGTATTTATTTTAAAATTTATAGATATTATACTTTTTTTCTCTAATAAGCTAAGTAAAACTATTATTACTTTTAAAGTAGTAGTTATAGAAATAGTAAATATAGTATTATTTTAGTATTTTAGTATAATAAGTTATAATAGTATAAAGAGGGAGATACTTATTTCTTAGCGATTTATGCTCTTTTTATATACCCCTATAGGTAGCTATAGAGGTTTCTCTCCTAAGCTATCCTAGCCCTTAAATATTTCCCCGTGAGAGTTATATAGCAGTTAACAAAGTACGCCTCTAGGCAGCAAACTGCAAAGAAAAAAGTTAGAAGGGAAGAAAGATTAACATGAGATCAAGGACCTCGTCTTCACAGTCTCAAAGGAGCATTCAAGGTATTCCTTAAAAATGAGGGTAGTCCCTAGGACCGCAGGAAATTGGAAGATTGAGCTTTGACAGTATTTGTTTCATTACTTCATTTATAAACTTTTGTTGCAAAAGAGCATCTAAGCAGCAGCCGACACCTTGAATCCCTCCGACGTAGTCTTCGCGTCATAATCATCAATGACCTTGACCTTGGCCGCAGAAGCCGAGTTCTTTTCCTTTGTTAGAATCATATTTCATTGTGTGCCAGAAAAAGGGGAGGCAAACTCACAGGGTCAAACTCGTATCCAAGCCACTCGCTCACCAGCCTCCTCGCGAGCTCGATGCCAATCACACGTTGTCCCAGGCACAGCACCTGCGCGTTGTTGCTCTTGATGGCCCTCTCGACCGAGAAGCTGTCGTGCGCCGTCACGGCGCGGACGCCCGGCACCTTGTTGGCCGAGATGGCGACGCCGAGACCGGTGCCGCAGATGAGGATGGCGCGGTCGACCTCGCCGCTGGCGACCTTCTCGGCGGCCGTGATGGCATACGTCGAGTAGGCCGTCTTGTCGGACTCGGAGTTCGGGCCGACGTCGACGACGGAGGCCACGCGCGGGTCCTTGTTCAGGTCGGCCGTGATGGTGGCCTTGTAGTTGAAGCCGGCTTCGTCGCCGCCGAGGGCAATGCGCAGACCGGCCATTTTGACAGGGGATTTGTTAATGGGATAGAGTAGAAAGGGTGGTTGTGGTTGGGTTGGGTTGGCGGGCTCCTCTGTTCAGATCAGTTTGTCAGGACTAGGCTTTTTGGCCTTTTCTGACTGCACTTCTCTACGCTCGCGCATCTTTATGGCGACATACGCGGTATACGCCCTCTTTGAGATGTACACCTCCAACATGCACGATGCTCGTCACGAAGCGCCATTGATGATGCCCCGGTGCAGAATGCTACCCACCTTGTCGGGACAGGGATTAGGAGTCCGCGCATCGCGGCCCGGTGGGGCGGATGCGGGTGCGGTGACCGCGTGTCGTGCCTCCAACCCAACACACCCCCGCGATTCAGCTTGAGGATTGCAAGCCATAACCATGGCCCATGACAAAGAGGGAGACGCGACGCGGGGAGAAAATCGTCGCGGGGTCAGATCGGATGGAGGGGTAGCTTGGAGCTCCAGATGGGAAAGGTCCGGTGGTTAAAGGTGCCCTTTATGGGAACTGCCAGTAACATGTCCAATATTAGAAAGCCGCTTTGATGCTTCTTCGATCGTGCTACGTGTGAATACCGTTTTCAACCGCCCTCGATCGTCTTGTCAATCGCTCTCCCTCACGCCACGGCTTACACAGTAACACATTCCTAATCACCAGCATATACAACCGCAACAATGGCGTGGGACCCGACTAAGAACAAGACCTATCAGATCCTCAAGGCGGCCGAGGAGGGCCAGTACGGCGTCGTCGCGCCCATCGCCTACAACATCGAGAACATCCTCTCCTTCATCCGCGCCGCCGAGGCGAAGCGCAGCCCGCTCATCATCCAGGTCTTCCCCTGGGCCATCACCTTCTCCGACGGCCTCCTTGTGCGCGCCGCCGCGCTCGCCGCCAAGGCCGCCTCCGTACCCGTCGCGATCCACCTCGACCACGCCCAGGACGAGGCCATGATCCGCCACGCTGCTGACAACCTGCCCTTTGACTCCATTATGGTCGACATGAGCCACTACGAGATGGAGGAGAACCTGGCTAAGACGAAGGAGCTCGTGGCATACTGCCACGCGCGCGGTATCGCCACGGAGGCGGAGCCGGGACGTATCGAGGGAGGCGAGGACGGTATTGCTGATACTGCGGATCTGGAGGGTGCTTTGACGACGGAGGAGCAGGTGGAGGACTTCGTGGCGACGGGGATTGACTTCTTGGCGCCTGCTTTTGGCAACGTTCACGGCGAGTACGGTGCCAGAGGTCCCGTTTTGGAGTTTGACAGGTGAGACTGGCTCTTCGCTGCCGTATTTAGTTCCAGCTTTGGGGTTCCGGTGGCTAACAAAAGTCGAAATGCAGGCTAGAGAAGATTCGCGCCAAGGCAGCCGGAAGAGTGCGCATCGTGCTCCACGGAACGAACGACTTCCCCGAGGACCTGATGCAGCAGTGCATCCGCGGCGGCGTGTCAAAGGTCAACGTTAACAAGTTGGTTCTGGACGACTACCTCGTCCACCTCAAGAAGAACGCGCCCACGCTCAGCCTGACGACACTGATGGAGGAGGGTGTTAAGGAGGCGCAGAAGCTGACGGAGTGGCAGATGGATGTGTGCAAATCTGCAGGCAAGGCATAATCAGTCTGAACTTTTGTATTTGCTTTTGCTTTTGGAAACACGAAAAAACATAATAGAGAATCATGATACCAAATAGACATGGGTATATGTTGTTACACGGCATGATGCGTCGTCAATTCGTCAACGGGTAGCATCTGGGCTCTTTACGTCAGCGTCTATCCACGCCTGTCTGAGGTCGTCTCGCCAGGTTGCCATTGGCGTCCAGCCGACCCTCTCTTCGCTCTGCTCCATCAAGGACAGAATCTTTTCTCTCTTGACCGGTTCTTGAACGCAGAGCCCCGCCCCGTAAAGGCACTGCGCCGACAGAACCTGGCAGCCTTCGTCTTTCAGCTCCATAGCTATGCCGCAAATCATGTCGACGGCCTCGGAAAGGGACCTCTGCATTTTCAGAAATCCGTTGAACCCAGATGGCATTGGGCTGTGGAGAAGGATGAGTATCCGCGCGAAGCAGTAGGCTTGCAAGGCCACGCCGAACTGAGGCGGGTGCACCCAGAGGGGAGCAAAGACGTCGCAATGGTCTGTTGATGTTGGAAGCGGTTTGAACTCGCTGCCCAGATATGCCCTCCACCGCTCCAAGTTCGCGAGCAGCTCGTTGCCAGCGCGAACTCTGCTTGCTGCTGCATCCGACAGAGGTGAGGTCTCGGCCATACGAGAGTCTGCACAGAAGTTCACAGCCTGCGACAGCAAGTAGATGGCCATGTGGGCCAGCTCGTGCTGGTCGAGTTCAGAGTAGTCTTTATACGGCGCCCAAAAACTTAGGCAGCGTCTTTTCTCTCGAAAGGCCGCCCAAATATCTTGCCGAAGCCAGGCCCACCAGACGGCCTGTCGCAGACCACCAGAGCAGCCGTTGACATCCTGGGACCGCTGGATCCAGAAGACGCCCTTGAGGTGTCTTTGCCAGTTGCCTCTGCCATCAGACTCGTCCAGCATCTCATAGGCCGAGATGATGAGAGCCGTGGCGTTTAGTTCTTCCGAATTTGTGTAGCTGGTGTAAGCCAGGGCCTCTTGGACGTAGCGGAGGGTCTCGTAGTAGTACCGTATCCACTCCCCGCCGGAGTCGTGCGCAGGACTCGCGTCGGCCGGAGCCAACCCCGACAGCGCCCCCTCCAGCTTGGAGAGATGCTTGGCAGACAGAGCCAAGATGGCATTCATGAGACCTGCATTCCGCAGGGCTAAGCGCACCGCATAAGTGGAGAAGAGCTTGTGAGGATCCAAGAAATCGAGCCAACGCGACGATCGCTCCGTGAAATGCCGGAAGAGAACGGCCTCGTGGTTGGTCAGCGTGATGGCCCGATCAGCTTGCCAAGTCTTCCGCTCCGGGTCCGAGACCTCGCGCAGCCGAGACGAGAGTTTGCCCGCGTCAGGCGGCCCATGCAGAGCCGCGGCGCGTCGCTGGTCCTCGTCTTCCGGCGCGGGACTGGGAGCCAGCGAGAAGCCGCTGTCAGCTTGGGCGGCGTCCGTAGCGAGCAGACCGAGCCATCGGGTCGAGGCCAGGTCAGTGGTCCACAGCTCGGACGCGACCGTCTCGGGGGAATAGCTGTACACATTGACATCTCCGAGGGTGAGACCCGCCGAGGTGGGCGGCTGGGTGACGTACGGCGGCTGAGTCGGGTTGAAGTCGGATGCCGGCTGGGTGACCGGAGGAGCGGCGGCGGCGGCGGTAACCGTGACCTGCGTAACGAGTGACGCGGGTGTTGTCACCGACTCGGGCACCGCCGCTGAGTCGTTGCGGGTAGCCTCATCTACGCGAGACTGGGTTTGAGTCTCCACGACGCGGCGATAACGCGTCCGCGGGGGCTCGGTGACGGAGACAGATGGGCTCGCCTGTCTGCCGGCGGCATCCTGAGAGAGCTGGGGGAAAACACAGTTCCGGGAGGAGATGCTGCATGGGCCGCATACCGGCTGTTTTTCGTCGCATTTCTTGTGCCGCTCGCGGCAGGTCAAGCTAAGGTTCCGATATCAACACGTTGGTCCCGGACCGAGGAGGGTCGGGGAGGTGGAAAGGGTGGGACTTGATGAGTTGAACTTACCAGCCCGTCTTGGTGCGCAAGCCGCGGCCGCGGGGCTTTCTGATGCGCTTCTTTGGAGGAGCGGCTGCATCCCGTCTTCCGTCCATGAGGTCATGGCAGGCCAGCAGGCAGACCGAAAGACACGCTCAGGTTTGTGGTGTCCCGGTAATGCAGGCAACCTAGGCACCGTGGAGAGCAGCAGAATGCAGGCGTGCAGAAACCCTCGCTAGTGTAAGGTAGTTAGCTGCAGGTGGCCGGCATAAAGACTGCGAGACGCGGCTCTCAGCGGGTGATGAGCTTGAGATTGACGAAACAAGACTTGGGGATCTACGGTTTCAGTCTCCGCGTCCAACGTTGTCAGGTCGCGGGTAAGGTACACGACGCTGGGTGACTTTCTGAATTCTCGACGTGGAGTCTCCGGGTTCTGGGGCGGAGGAGCGGGGCCCCTCAACTCGTGACCTGGAGAGAACAAGAGACTGGAGGTGGTGGATGGCGGTTATTTCCGTGGCAGGGCGGCGGATCTTGACCAACGGTCTCTGTTCGTCCCCAAGTTTTCGAGATGGGCATGTCGGCACTTGTCCGGTTGCTGTCGTGGTCTCAATTCGGCTGTGGGGTCTGTCAAGGGTTGGAAAGGCTCTGATCGGGAATGCGCGCGGGGAAAACGAACCATCCCCAGAAAAGGCAGAAAACTTGGAAGTCTCGCGTGGTGCGGGGACAAGGGCCTTCCTCTTTTCTTCTTTTTGGGTGACCGCGGCTCGGGGGCACTTCTCTCCAAAACTATTCCTTCTTTCCTCCCACATTCACAGACCGCGTCTCGCGACCACGTCCTGACTCGGCTGTCATTACCCGCGGACTAAGCCATCCAAGCCGCGAACGCGGCGTTCCAGAGACGAACGGTCATGGCAATTCGCAAAGAAATGGCATGGCTCGAGGCGCGTTGAAGCCTTCGATGGATTGCTTCCCGATGGATCGTGGGATGGCAATGCGAGACCTCGCAACGATGACACGCACTTCGATATCCGCGCACAGCACCACTCGCACGCGCGCGCTCCTTATATCCAGGAGTTGCAGCCATCTCCGGCGAAAAGCGTAGAGCTGATTGCTTTTTTGGCCAATTCCTCTTTTCCTCGCAAAATATACCCCCTGTCGAAAAGATGGCGACCAAGCACTACTTCCCCGACACGGCGGCGAACACGCTCGTCCCGAGAGCGCTCCGTGCTCTCGTCTCGGCGAACCCTCACCTCGTCCTAAGCGAGGCCGAGCGCGTCGTCGCGAACGCCCAGAACGACCCTTCGGCGGTGAGCATCATCGGCGGAGGCGGCTCCGGTCACGAGCCAGCGTGGAGTGGGTTCGTCGGCGAGGGTCTTCTCTCGGCCGTCGCCTGCGGTGACATCTTCGCGTCGCCGAGCACGAAGCAGGTCCTCGAGGCCATGAGACTGGCGCCCTCGACCGCTGGTACGATTCTTCTCATCACAAACTACACCGGCGACCGCCTGCACTTTGGTCTTGCCGCCGAGAGGGCAAAGGCTGCTGGTCTTTCAGACAATGTCGTTGTTCTCCCCGCCACAGACGATGTTTCGATTGGAAGGAGTAGGAGCAGCAGGGTAGGCAGGAGAGGAATGCCGGGTCACATTTTCAGTAAGTTGCAAGAACTGAAGACGTCGAGGAAAAGACAGCATATTGACCAAGTCACACAGCCATGAAGATCCTGTCTGCGGCAGCGGCCGAAAAGTACTCCTTCGAGCGCTGCGTAGATATCGGCAGAGCAGTAAACGACCAGACCGTCTCAATAGGCTCCGCCCTGGACCACTGCCACGTCCCCGGCAGACAATTCCAGTCCCTCGCAGCCGACGCCTGCGCGCTCGGCGCCGGCATCCACAACGAGCCCGCACAGCAGCTGCTGACCCCCTTTCCGTCCGTCAAGGACCTCGTCGACAAGATGCTGAAGCTCGTCTGCGACCCCACAGACTCCGAGCGCGCGTTCGTAAAGTTCGAGACCGGCGACGAGGTCACGCTGCTCATCAACAACTACGGCGGCCTGTCGGTCCTCGAGCTCGGCGCGCTGACGGACGAGGTCCAGACGCAGCTGGCGGCGACGTGGAATATCACGCCCTGCCGTACGCTCACCGGCGCGTTCGAGACGTCGCTCAACGCCCCCGGATTCTCCATCTCGCTGGTCAACATCTCGGCCGCGGCTAGACAGTCGAGCACAGGAGCGGCGGAGTTGCTGGGCCTGCTCGACCGCAAGACCACGGCCGTCTCGTGGCCGAACATCATCATCCCCTCCGCCGACGCCAAGCAGGCCAACACCGTTGCGGTAAACCAAACCGACGCGAACGCCTCCTCAGCCAAGTCCGATGTCCAGATCAACGTCGACCCCGCCCTGCTCGAGAAGTCCATCAGGTCAGGCTGCGAGAGCGCCATCGCCGCCGAGCCGAAGCTGACGGAGTGGGACATGGTCATGGGCGACGGCGACTGCGGCGAGGCCGTCAAGGGCCTCTGCGAGTCGCTCCTCCGCAACCTCGACAACGGCGTCGCCAAGAGCGGCTCCCTGCTCTCCTTCCTCGAGTCCACCATCGGCGCGGTTGACGACATGGGCGGCACCCTTGGCGCCATCCTCGGCATCCTCCTGTCCGCGTACTCTTCATCTCTCAGAACAAACGCCGCAGCCGCCGGTACCGCCCCATCAGCTGCGCTATACTCCAAGTCTCTGGCCACGGCCGTCGAGGCGCTCAAGTCGCACACCCCGGCGAGGGAAGGCGACCGCACTGTCATGGACGTACTTATCCCGTTCACGGACAGCTTTGCTGCGACGGCTGACTTCGCCACTGCCGTCAAGGTCGCTGCTGAGAAGGCGGAGGCGACGAGGTATCTGAAGGCGAGGTTTGGCCGCGCGACGTACGTCGGCGACGCGGCTGGCCAGGAGTTGCCCGACCCTGGTGCGTGGGCTTTGTATGAGATGCTACACGGAATGGCCAAGGGTCTAGGTATTTCCATTTAGAGAATATAGAAATGACAAAATAAGAACTAATTTCCAATGCACTGGCCAAGGAAAGATCGGTTGCCTGAAGCAAGACTTTTTCCGTGTTCAAAGCAAGACATCGCGTTTCGCAGCAAATGGCTGTCTCTGTCAAGCTAATCATCATTGTTCACGTACACTATTGACCCAGGGTGTCTTCTTTCATCTTAATATCCCTTCACTTTCAGCCATACTCAAAGTCCGGCATCAGCAAATCCAGGTGTCCCTCCTCATCCTACCGCCCATCTTTGTACATTCTGCCAAATTAACACATCTTTTGCAGACATCGCGAAAACACGTACACCATCAACCGCTCATGAGGAACCATTCCTCAACTCCTCCGCCGCGGTTCTCAGAACTTCAATGTTTTGGGCAAGGTTCTCGCGCGCTTCTCTGGTGCTGGAATCTTCTCCCGCAATGAGTCGCAGCTGGCTGTCTTCGAGGCCCATGATAAGATCGGGGCAAAAGATCTGAAGAGGACCATCTTTGGCGTCGAGGAGAAAGTGAAAGACAACCTGTTGGCAGATGACATCCATAAAGCGCTTACGCGCAACCTTGTAGTAGCTGAACAGGATATCGTGAATGTCGACCCGGACCTGTTCGGCGTTCGACCGATCTTGGGTCAGCTTAGAAAGCATCTCTTCCGTAACCCACCACCCTGACTCCTGGGTATCATCCAGGCTGGACTCTTTGCTGCCGATGACCTTCTGGAGCGTTTGCTTGAGCCTCGAAGCCTGGGCTGCTTGGAGATTGCTGTTGAAGTAGTGGTTCAACGTGTAGGGCTGGCCGTTCAGCTCGACGTCAATGAGAAACTCGACATGGTTGATTGCACGTTGGTAAGCGGCTCTAAGCTTGTCTTTGAGAAGTCTGTTGAATATGTTGGTGCGGAAGATGACGTCAGGAAACTTCAGAGCAAGCAGCCGAGTGATGAACATGTGAACAAGCACAATCGCTCGGCTTGTATGTTGAAGAACCAGAGGCGCCCAGCTTCTGGCTTGCTCTCTGAAGACCTCGCCGAGGACAGAGCCACCAAACTGTTCTTTGCGTCAGCACCAAAGTCACATAAGAAAAGGGAATCTATAGATCATTCACAACGTCATAAGGCGGCAGTTGGGGCGACATATGCAATAGAGAAACAGGTAAGAACCACAAGAGAGTATCAAACTTACCGTTCCAAGCTCGGGTCCACGGGTTCTTCTGAAGGCGATCTCAATCTGTACCAGTAAAGAATCCTTACGAGGTTCAGGGCATCCGTAATTGAGCTCTCTCAAGATACCATGCAAATCCTGCATAATGCCTTCCATCTCGCTTCCTTGACAGGATTCGAGTATTTGTAAGACAGGAGGGGTTCCGGAGATTCGCTGTCGCTGCGTTCCCTCAAAAAGTCTGGTATGGCCGCGTTTCTCAAAGGTGTCGTTGAAGGTCTCCTGAAGAGCGACGACGTTGGTAATCAGTCGGAGCTGTTGGTTGTTGTCGAATATCTCCATCCCGCTGTAATGGCCATCCCGCTGTAATGGCCATCCCGGGCTCGACGGACAACGTCCTGGAAGTCTGAGCTCAGCTGTCCCAAATATCGCCGCTGACTCTCAGGCCTGTCTCTCGGTGGGCCCATCGCCTCCAATGCCTTGCTCGTGGTCCAGAGCTGACGCTCGACTTCAACCGCAACATTCTTGAATTCCTTCTTTGAGACATCCCGCAGGAGATGGCGAAGGCGAAGACTCAAGCATTCGACGCCGACTCTCTTGGTGCATCGAAGTCTCGCCCAGGGCGATACAGAGAAGAACGCCTTTTCAGAGGAGTTTCTTTCTCCCAATGTCGACTTGTTGTCGTCTGAACCGCGATTCTTCACGACGCAGTATCCGAGACGCAGTGGGAATCGCTTTCCTTCAACGAGCTCGCAGACAATTTGTTGCGTTGCTCGCTCGGTTGCAAGGTCAGGCTTTGTGAGAACACCCATCGTCCGGATGCCCTCAGGGTCGAATGCTTGTGCCATGGTGAGGATCTCTTGAGTGGCGATGTCGACATTGCAGGGGACTACAGCCAGAATAATGGTTCTCGGGCTTTTCATATAGCTTTGGACCATGTTCTTGACCAAGACGATGTCCTCGTCCGTGGTCCGCCCAGAGGTCGCCGTTCTGAAGATGCCAGGCACATCAATTACGGTCAGATGGTTTTGCTGTATGGAGATTCAGTCTTGCTCGTGAGTTTCCAGAGATAAAAACACTCACATTAGGCCCACTGATCTCGATTTTCAGCGTGTCTTCTGCGAAAGTTGCTGTTCCATCGCCAAAGCCGGAAACGGCTTTCTCTCGGATTCCCATAACCTTGTTTGCCTGTGTTCGAGAGTGTCAGAAAATCCCACAACTGATGCTGTCGTGACACGTACCTCACTCAAGGCATTGGCCAGGTTCACTTTGCTCTTGCCGGTCGAGCATCGAAAACCCAAGAATTTCTCCTTCCGGGCGTTGCTGGAGTTTGCGGCAGGAATGATGCTGATGACCACATTCTCGAAGTCATCACGGCGGCAGGTGATCTGTGTCGCGTATCTTGTGCAGAGCTCTGGCGCACGAGGGAAGGCGAAGCCCGTGACGCTTTCGAGAACGGAGCTCTTACCAGACGACTGGTCGCCGACGACGACAAGCTGCGGCAGCGCTACATGGTCTGCCACGCCAATCTCGCGCAGTCGGTCGATGGTACGCGCGTACCCGTCATCTCCGAGGGAGGTCATGGGTGCAGGCTGGTTGCTGCCTGTCATGGTGGCAGCTCCCTGTCCCTTGGCTCAAGACGTATGTGACTGACTGGGTGGTGGACGCAGGGAAGTGTCCAATCGAAGGCGAGACTGCATTGTTGAATGTTGAAAGAACGATGAATACTGGAGCAGGAAGCAGTTGATGAAATTGAAAAGAGGAGAAAGGGCAGATTTGGGAGGACAAGTCCAGGGGAGAGAGGTGTTGTGTCTAGACAACCTGCCTTGCCTGCTACTGGGTTAATCAAGGATCGTTTCGCACATGGTGGTTAGGTGTAAACAGCAAAATCTGCAGGTAGGTGCTGGCTCAAATGAGAAGAGGAAGGCAGGGCTAAGGAGCCTGGCCCCGTATTAACCTTTGCTACTTCCTCTCTAAAAAGTCTTGATAACTTGAGGCAGGAGCAGGCCGGCCGCGGAAGGCACTTTCAACCTAGAGTGCATGAGGAAGGAACCTAAAGAAAGAAAGTAGGACTGACGTGACTGCTGTCTGGCTGTGAGTTCAATCGAGCGCGGAAGGTCAGCCAGTATCATATAAAGATAATGCAGATGATGAGTGATGAGACGAATTGGATTCGCAGCAGATGCTATCCCAGTCAAGCCCTGTTTGCTCGTTGGCGGCGCTAATGAATATGCTACAATAATAACAAAAAAGAATAACACGGTGTGTAGTGTCGGTACCTGACTTGCTGCACTTTTGCCTCCCGTTCCTGGGTATTTCCTCAGCCGGCTGTGGTCTTCTTCTTGTCCATGACCCCCTTCAACACCTTCAACTTCTCCTCCGTGACTTTGATCGCTTCCTCAATCTCCCTCTCATCCATGCGATCTTCTCTTACCCTCTCCTCTACCGTGATGGGCTCCATCGCTCTCTTGCGTGTCGAGATGTTGGGGTCATTTAACCTCTCCAATCCGACACGCTCCTCAAGCCACTCCCACAGCTCACTCTCCTCACGCCTCCACATCTCATCGTACGCGGCGAGGCGGTCGGGATAGCCGTACATGCGCATGTCGCTCGACGGTTGTCTGCCTGGCAGCCCCAAGCCGAACCAAGTAGCCACCAAAAGTCCAACCAGGAGGCCGTACATCATGTTGCCTGTTATAAGCGGCTTGACGATATCGAGGATCGGCTCCAGGATGCTACGGACGGGCTCCAACGGTCCCCAATCCTTCTTGGGAACATTCTTCGGACGGACTTGCTCGTCTTCGACATCTGTCGATGAGCCTGTAGCCTTGCCCTTCTTACCCCGCTTCTTGCCCTTGGCAGCACCACCTGCTGCACCTCCAGCGCGAGCCTTCGACGAAACGGCCGACTTCAGACTGGCAAAGAGATCTTTGCAGTAAGCGGTCTGACCTTCGTTCGCACCCTTCTCAATTGGGCCTGACGTTTGTTAGCTGAGCACTCGTAATTTCAGACTTTCTCTTGAGACTTACCCTTCAACCAACTCTTGCCCGTCCATTCGATGGTGCAGTTGGTCTGGACTCGGGTGGAGTTGTTCTCAGCCCAAGACAGGCAATACTTCGTCTTGACACTGAAAATGTTGCCGCTAGGGACGTCGGGTGTTTGAGTGACAACGTTCAGGTTGATCGACTTCTCAAAATCCAGACTCTCCAAGGTCTCAGTGACAAGACACTTGGTTTGCCTCGGACCAATAGCTCCGTTCAAAGGCTTGATGTAACTGAAGAAGCGTGACTTGTTCTCCAGCGTCAGACCCTTCTTGTCCTCCATCGTCAGCTCAGTGCACTTGGCCTCAACGGTGAGCCACTTGGACATCCAAGTGACCGATGCCGGACCGAAGAGCAGGTTGTACACCTTGCCGATGGGCGCGGGAATGACATCATCACCAACAACCTTCTCATAATGCGTGCCTGAGTCTCCGCAGTCCGTCGGCGCATGAGTGGCTGGGCCAGGGAAGTCATCGTTGGTGCTGGGTACACCCACAGCGTCCTTAACGACATCGGAAAGCGCGCCATTAGCACCGCCTGCACCTGACACCTTCCGTGAGACGGTCTTCTCTGTCTCGGGTTCGGGATTCATGTCTGTTGGCTGTGTTACTTCCTGGAGGTCTTCGTTGTCGTCGTCTTCATCGTAGACGTCGTCGTCGTCGCCTGACTCGCTGTCTTCCTCGCTTGCGTCGGACAGACTCGCGTCTTCTACTTCCGGGGCCACTACATCCGCGTCAACCTTCTCCGTTTTATCACCGCCAGTACCCTCCAGCTGCACTCCGTTCAAAGAGCTCTTCAGGGTCGGGTGACCAAGTTTCCAGATGTTGACAATTAGGTCGTAGGTGGAGTCTCTACTTGTGAAACTAGCAAAGATGTGTTTCGCATGCAAGGTCGATATCATGAGTCCGTTCTTGAAAACTAGGGCCGTGCTCCGCTTCTCGACGCTTACGATCTCGTCAAAGCTCATGACGAGAGTGGTCGACCAACCGAGGATGTTGCTGCTGAAGCACAGGTGACCTTCGGATACGTATAGACGGCCGTGCGCCAAAATCTCGCGCTGCAAGGCACAGCTGTAATCTTCTATGAGGTAATCGTCATCGGGCACGCTTTTGAACAGTGCGTGGAAATCGCGGTTGCGCTTCTTGCTTGCGACGGCGAATCCGGTGAGTTTCGGGACGCTTGCGTTGGCTTGAGGATGAGCGAGAGACGCGTTAGCCGCAGCAATGGCAGCGCCAATTGTAGTTGCCGTACCTCCAGACACGGCGGAACTTCCCCGTTTACGATGGCGTCCAATGGCGCTTCGAATGCTTCCACTCCGTTGAATTCCCGAATTCCTGTCTTCATTGATGCTGCTCGATGGCGGCGTGCGGTCGCCGCCGCTTCCCGGATCGTGCAAGGATTGGGGTCTCGTAGAGGGCTGTCGGCCGTCGTCCGGTCCAAGGTCTCGGGTCGCAGCTACGTAAGCCGCATCGGTGGGAGCTGATTCGGATCTAGAGCGCGAATCGGTTGTGTCGGGGAACTTCGACGTGACGGGCGTACCGGCGACGCTTCCTGTATCTGTTATTCCTAGTTGGCTGAGGCTCAGCTCGCCAGACCCCATGGTCTTGACGGCGGGTTCCTTCTCCATGGCTGATCCTGTGAGGGACGGCAGGGGAGGTTCGACCTCGGGATGGTCTTCGATCTTGATGTCGGGGGGTCTCTGAGTCGTCTTATTCTTAGGAGGAGTTGGCCCGATGCCTGTGTTCTGTACTGCGCTGCTAAGTTGGGTCGCAGCGTTCTGCGCGGCTGAGAATACCGAGGAAAAAAAGCCGCCTCCTGGAGCGGGGGTGCCTGGATTGCTGGCCGAGTTTACGTCGGGGATGGGTGTCAAAGGAGCGTTTGTGATGTTGGAGAGCTTGCTAGGCCCAATACTACCAGAGTTTGATCTGCCCCTACGATGAGCAATCATGTTACCCTGGGCGGAGCCACCATTCGTGTTGCCTGAGGCGGTCGCAGCTGCATCAACGGCGGGCTGCGGACCGGGCCCCGGTGAGGAGTGTGCGGAAGGAGCGCTGCGGTCGGTCGGGGTCGGCGGCGTGTTGACGATGACGGGAGTGCCCTTCTCGGGTTGGGGCGGGGTCGAGGGGACGTTGGTGTCGATCTTGACAGAGTTGTTCGTGGAAGCTCTGGAGCGGCGTCGCTCAGGAGAGTGAGATGTCGTCGTTACACGGGAGGATGCATTCGTCTTGTTTGCGGGAGTTGGTTGTGGCGCTTGTACTATCGGCAAAGGTGGGACGGGTGGCGCGTCGGTGAAGTCAAAGGACCTTGTAGTGGTGGTGAGGTCAGATGTTGAAGCTGCAGCTCGGCCTCGGTAGGCTACTCCGCGTCCAATGTCTCGGTCGGTGTCAGTGTCGTCACCGCCCGCACTCCTCTCGGGACTAGTGGTGGCACTTGGAGTCTTTTTTGACTTGAAAACTCCCCTAAGGCGGCCGACGGGTGAAGGTGACCGTGTTGTGTTTTTCTTGGGGGGCACAAGACTGGTAAAGCTGCGTTTGGAGCGCAGGGACGAATCTGTGGATTCGGCCGATTGCGTCCGCTTGGCTGAGTTGTTGGATGTGGATCGCGCCGAGGCGATCTCTGACAGTTGTTCGTCCAGTATCTGCGCTTGGGGTTCAGGCAAGTGAGTTGCCTGAACGATCGGGGAAGAAGTTGTCAAGTAACCTATTTGCGAAGGATGCGTCGAGATAGCATTTGGGCGGGAGGATCTAGCGAAGGGGGGGAAGAGAAGTTTAAGTTAGTTGGGTGCAATCATGGACGAGGAGCCTCGATCGAGGTGAGATGCGAGGTAAAGTAATAGATGGAGGCAGCAGTTAAGATGCGAAACGGAGGAGGCAGGAGAAACATGGACGGCCCTGTGTCCGCCCCTCGCTTGAAAAGGAAATGGAACACTCGTCAGGAACACAGCGATTTGCTGAGACTGGACTGGCCTGGCCTGGTACACACACCTCACCTCACTTGCTGGTGCTGGTGCTGGTGCTGGTGCTGGTGCACTCGGTGCTGTGTGCTGATGGGACCCCCAGGCAGCGTCATACGGCGATTGCCGCAGAGAGTGGATGAGGAGCTGAGACCAAGCTCCAGCCATGCTCCAGTCCAGCAATGGAAAAGGGCGCGGCGGCGGCGGCCAGCCCCAACCCCGGGCCAGTCAGACTGTCAAGGCCGGGATGCGCCCCCCAACCTGCCGACTGATCGCTCCCTGAATGCTCTCCCCTCATCACTCCCACTCTCCCACTCTCCTCCCCTGCCATTCCCCTAAAAGCTTAGGGGGGGACATGGACTGGGGGCAGGAGTGAAAGCGAGGGAACGCGAGGAGAGGAGGCCAGGCCGCGCCGCGCCGTTAGTAGGTTCATCCAGCAGAGCGGAACAGCGTAGCAATCCGCCTCGTCACTCGATGGAGCCTCCCACGACGACTTTTTTTTAAATGCGCCACGCGAGAGACGTGGCCTTGCCAGGCAGATGAAATGCGGCATCAGTGCGTCCGGATGCAGATGCAAAAGGGTCCGGTGCAGAACAGCACATGAAGCTGCCGCAGC